CATTTTCTAGCTTTAGGGGGGTAGGGGTGAATGGGTGACGGGCACTGAGGGGGACACTTGACGGGATGAGCACTGGGTGTTATTCTGTATGTTGGTAAATTGAGCACCAATAAAAATTAATTTATAAAAAAAAAAAAAGAAATATTTTCAACATGGCAACTAAAATCACACCCTGCATATTAGAGCTTAACTATCATCTCTTCATGTCAGATCACAGGTACAAGTCAGGCCCTTGAGCTACACTTCTGTTTTATGACATGTCAGCAAGGAAACTTGTCAGTCATGTACTCCCAATAATGACATTTTATTATCTAACAACTCTGAGTAAATCCATCACAAACGCTCATTTATACTTCAACCACAACTGCATCGCAGCACTTCACAGTGACATTTGCCCCATACGTGTTATAGGCAAATATCTTGCTGAACTATTGGTTTTAAAGGTTGTGTTATAGCCCCTTTCCAGCAAGTGACCTTTTAGGGCAGAAAGCCTTGTTCCTCTCTGCTTGTCCTGATTTATTGCTAGGTTCTTTCCCATTACTGACATTATTTCTACTTTCTCTCTTAGTTTACCTCTTATTTTGTCAATTTTTCTTCTATCTTACCTAACAGGAGCCTCTGTGACATGTGCTCTCCACTTGGAAGACAAGAAGGTTCAGATACAAAGAATATACCTGAGGTCACACAGCAGGAGAGAAGCAGAAGGATGGACAATAGACTCTGGGATTCTGGACCAGAGTCCATCTTACCCTGCACCACAGTGTTTTTGGAGCAGTCTCTAACTGAACAAAGAGTTTTAAAGATATTTAAAAATGAATGTATTCATAAACATCCATGTTAGACTTTTTTATAAGCACTCTAATGGATAATAATCCAAGAAGAAATTGCTCTCATATGGCCTTTGGTAAATTACTAGATTTGTTTGATTTTGCTTTTTTATTAATAAGAGTAAAGCAACACTTACTTCTGGAATTTGAGGAATAGATTTGTACATAATAACAACAGTGATAGTTATAAGTAAACGTTATTGTGTAGTTGTAGTACCAGCTAACACTTATAGGGCACTTATTTTGTGCAAGGCCAAGCACTTTACATGGAGACCTTCATGTAATCCTCCCAGCCACCTGTAATTATCCTCATTACAGATGAAAAAATTGAAGTCTGGACAAGTTCAATATGCAGCCCAGATCACACAGGTGTTAAGTAATACAACTGGAACTTAAGTCCACTCTACCTAGGTCCAAAGTAAATGTTCTTAACCATGAGACCATATTGTATTGCTTTCTCATTAAAGAATCTACAAGGATAAGTTAAAGAACAAGGGAATTTGACCTTAAAAAACCAGAGAAGTAAAATTTGACAAGAGAAGGACTTTTGCAACATTAGGAGACCATGCAGGGTGGCCAACACTCATTGTACTACCTCTCATGGTAAAGGGGGAAAAATCACACATCCTTATAGAGGCATAGAAACATACACCAAAGTGATCCTCAGAAAGAATGGCATTCCTTTGGAGCTCAAATTAAACTCTTTTTTAAAAGTGCATATTGGGCGTATACTTCTGTAACATATCCAGGTTAGTACAGCTATATGAATATAGTCCCTGGCATAAATGTAAACACAAAGGACAGCTCAGGGCTGCCCAGAGTTTTATGTAAATAATTATGCATTACAAAGTGATTTTCGTGGCCATGGGTGTATAGGACTCCAAAAATGGCAGGATAACACAAATTCTTTTGGGAGGCTGTACACCTGACTGAGTAAAGAGGCTTCCAAAGAAAGTTTAAAATAATTTCAATGTGTATCTTTTAGAAATATTATTTTCTTGGAAACCAAGGCAGCACTGCAGACACTTCATAAAGTTCTTGAGGGGATGGAATTGGATAATGTATGTAAAGTGATTATTCTGGCACTTTCTTCCAAAGACTCTTCTAAAGTAATCGTCAGCTGCCTGCCTCAGCATCTTCCCTTTAAAGGGCAGAAAGATTCACTTTGAAGGAAATGAGATCAACTTTAGAAATTGCAACTTTGAGGTCAGGACAAATGAATTCATTTGGGATGAAACCAAGAAATGTTTGCTGTAATTCAGATTTCTGAGGTCAAGACCTCAAGATCAACCCAGAAATTGGATTTAGTTTTGAGACATATACCACACACGGAGGAGCAAAAAGTTGAGGAGAACTTTGTAAAGAGAACTTTGTGACCTACTCTGTCAGGCTCTACTTGGTTTTGGTTAATCTATTACAGTAAGAATGAGCTCAGTAAACTTATATATTTAGTTAACGACGGTTATAGTGTAAAGTTAGGCCTTTACAAGAAGTGTAAATTGGTTCTAGTCATTCAGGTCGGTCACAGCTGGAAGAACCTTGCACCAATACCCATGAGCTTTAACAAAATGGCTCGATATCTTTACATAGGTTCTGACTAATTTAAACCAGTTCTGGCTTAGTCAAAGTTGTTCTTTCTTTCTTTTTTTAAAAGATTTTATTTATTTATTTATTTATTTATTTATTTATTTATTTATTTAGGAGAGAGAGTATAAGAGTATGTGCCTACCAGTAGGTGTGGGCAGGTGCCGCAGGTGGTGGTGGGTACAAGACTCAGGGCTCAATCCCAGGATCCTGGGATCATGACCAGCACTGAGAGTAGATGCTTAATCTACTGAGCCACCCAGGCACACTGTCCTATTCTCTAAAATAAATTTGGACTCATGCAGGCCAAGTTAAACCTATAAAAATTACCTGAATCAAGTGAGCCATACAAAACAAATTTATTTGGGTCAAAATGTTTTCGAAATCACAGGATGAGTTTAAAACTTTTTGATCAATCCTAATTTCTTTTTATTTAGATCACATTGCTTCTGACTGAGTAAAACCAGTAATATCTAGATCTTATCCTGTTCAACTGGATCGAATCCATTTATAGGATTTGCCTGATTTATGCTAAGCATGTATAATCTGTTGAAATAAGTACTGCTATAGGTCCTCAGGTACAATAAAAAAAATAAAGAGAATACAGTCAACTGGACTTTCAGTAATAGATGGGAAATTAAAGAGATGAACAGAAAATAAAGGCAAATTGTTGAAGAAATAATTAAGAGAATCTAACTTCTAAAAACAAAGGTGGCATAGCATGGCAGGCCAGCTTCACAGAAAACAGATACATGGAGATAAGGAAATAAAGGAAGGCAAAGGCATCAGTAATTTTATTCAAGATGAAAGGTATAGAAGAAGTCAACCAAAATTCAACCATTACATCATAAATCTCTTAAGAATATTTGCAACATAAAGAAACAGTCAGAGTAGCTAAAAACCAGAACAGAGAAAGTAGAGGGAAAGACAAGCTAAAAGAGGGAGTTTGGGGATCCCTGGGTGGCTCAGTGGTTTGGCACCTGCCTTTGGCCCAGGGCGTGATCCTGGAGTCCTGGAATCGAGTCCCACATCAGGCTCCTGGCATGCAGCCAGCTTTTATCCCTCTGCCTGTGTCTCTGCCTCTCTCTGTGTGTGTGTGTGTGTCTTTCATGAATAAATAAATAAAATTTTTTTAAAAAATAAAATAAGATAAAAGAGGGAGTTCACTGCAAACAGGAAGGATAGAAATTAATTCGGAAACATGGCTAAATCACAACTGAATATCAGGATTGATAACACAAAGTCATTTAAAAATCACAGGCTAGGGACACCTGGGTGGCTCAACGGTTCAGTGCCTGCCTTCGGCCCAGGGAGTGATCTTGGAGTCCTGGGATTGAGTCCCACATCAGGCTTCCTGCATGGACCCTGCTTCTCCCTCGGCCTGTGTCTCTGCCTCTCTCTCTCTCTCTCTATGTCTCTAATGAATAAATAAATAAAAAATCTTTTAAAAAATCACAGGTTATTAATGTATTCGAAAGGGCTATCAGATAAAACAGTGCATGCCATTTTAGCATATGAAATTAGAAAAATTAGGGAAAAATGTGTTTTATCTGTGAGAAATACTAGGTTAATAGTTTTCACTGTTGTTCAGAAGAACTGCAGGCAGATAGGATTTGGTTCCAATCTCCACTGGCATCCCATTGTTCTGCTGCAAGCTAGACCTCTCAAAATACACTATACCTGGCATGGAACATGCACCTTTGAAAGAGGGGGAGTATATGGGGTCTTGATTTGGCATATCCCACTCCCAGACCATCTCCTCATGCTTGATCATGCTACCTTCCTTGACCAACATGTGTAGTATGCACAAACAAGTCAAGTTCCTAAAGCTGCCAACTTCCCTCTCCTCAAGACCAGATGGGCACATTCTGTTTTCCACTGGTACAATCATTTGGCCACTGTCTTTGTTCTCTCCGTTGGCTTTTATACAGTCCATAAGAACATTATAGACACAGAAGCCCACATTAGATTCACTCAACAAGCCTTAAATGACAGTCAGCAAAACCTGTCTTTATGGAACACAGGCTGGACACTGAAATGTCTCTAGTGAGAAAAACTGTCTCCAAAATAGTATGGTCTTGGACATTATTAATACCTCCCAGGGACATACTTGTGCCATTATCCAAGCAGAATGCTGTGTGTTCATACCTTATGAGTCTGCTAATGTAACATTTTTATTAGATTACATATCAAAAGTGAATGCCCTGAATGATTCAACCCCCAATCCAGGGACTTAATAAATCAATGGTTTAGATCATAGGGCTCTTATTTAAAAAAGTTACTTATTTCAGGAATCAGTATTTTAATCTGTGTTTTCTCTTACATGTGCCTATATTATTGCTGTGACATTTGCCTCCAATGCAGCCAGATAGTAGCCAAATGAGCCACCTCCATGCTAATGAAACCCCTTGCCGATTGCTAACAGCACATTGTGAGACAGGTGGGGGGAATAAGATTGTGAGAGCCAGTCATGAAGGGTGTGTCTGATGAGGTCATCAAGAAGATGTGACTGCTGGTTGACCCACAAGCTGGAACCAGGCAATCAAGAGGCTTCACACCCACTCTCTTGTTCTTGGGATGTACATTCCATCCACCATTCCCATAGCTGGAGCCATTTTAAAGATGAGCCTTAGGAGAACAATGTGTTGTTGCAATTTGGGTGGATATGTGACTGAACCCTGTTAAGGCTTCTATATAAGCCTTCAAGATTCCTGGAGATAAATGTGGAGATCTACTTGTTTCCCAGCCACCCAAGACAAGCCTCACAGGTAAGGTCCCTTGCTTCTTAGACCTGCTATCTACCAATCTGAGGTGGTCTGCTTCTTTCTTAAATTTCTTCTTGCCCTCCATGTACAGAGCCAGTTTCAGATTTCACCTGGGAAGCTTCAGAGGCTTTGAACCAACTTATGCTCTAAAAATCATGTCTTTCTTTGATGTGTAAGATTGTATTAGAATAGTGTCTGGTATATATTAGGTGTTCAATGCATGCTCACTTAATTTCCTATGCGTGAGTAAAATTATTCTAGCATATTATTTGGCCTATACTACGTGCTCCATGCAGGCTGGTTTCCTTCCTCTATGTGTGGGTATATTCTACTTGAGTAGTATTGATTATAAACTAGAATACATTCTAATGAATGCATCCTTTCTTCTCCCTATGAGTGAGAGAAGTACTATACTAGATTAGTGTCTGGCATATACTTGGAGCTCAGTGCCTGGCTTAATCTAGGTGTGAAATGTATGAGTGCATTAGTAATTCTATGTAAGAGTAAGATTGTACTAAAAAACTGCCTGGCATACACAGGCATTTAATGAATGCATGCTCTCTTTTTCCTAATTGTGGTTTATGTTGTATTAAAACAGTGTGTTGCAATACCAGGTACTCCTTGCATGCCTGTTTTCTTCACCTACAAATGAGTAAATTATACTAGAATAGTATCTGAGAAATATTGGGCACTTAGTAATATGGTATCATTTCATTGGTTTGTGAGTAATGTTATGCTTTTTTTTTTTTTTTTTTAGAACAGTGCCTGGCAAATACTTGGCACTAAATACATATTCATTTTCTTTCCCAATGTGAAAGTTAACATTAATTCAAGTTGTACCTGGTGTATATCAGGCACTCACTGCAGGCATGTTACTTACCTCTATGTGTGAATAAAGTTGTGACACAATAGACCCTTGAACATTCTGGTGACTCAGTGCATGATTGTTTCCTTCCCACTGTGTGTAATGTTGTGAGAATAACACCTGGCATATACAAAGTGCTCAATGCATGCTCGGTTGTTCACCCTTTATGTGAGAAATGTACTAAAAGAATGCCTGGCATACTCTAGTTGCTTTATCATGCTTACTTCCTTCTCATATGTGTAAGGTTGCATGGCATATATTAAATTCACAGTGCATGTTTGTTTCCTCCCCACTATGTGTGACTAAAGTTGTACTAGACTAGAATGCGCTAGACTAGCATATAGCAGGAGTTTAATTCATGCATGTTTCCTTTCCCCTATTATGTGTAAGATCGTACTAGAAGAGTAGGTGACATACTTTAGGCAATCAATGCATTTAAGCTTCCTTCCCCCTACATATGAGTAAATTGGTATTGGAAAAGTAGCTGATATGGATGTTCAATGTCTGTTGGTTCCCTTCCCCCATTAGTGAGTCAGGTTGTCTTAGAATTGTTCCTGACATATACTCAGTGTTCAATTCAATCTTGCTTTCTTCCTCTATGGGTAAGTGACATTTTCTAGAATAGAACCTTACATACAGGGCAGCCCGAGTGGCTTGGCGGTTTAGCGCCGCCTTCAGGCCAGGGCCTGATCCTGGAGACCCAGGATCAGGTCCCATGTTGAGCTCCCTGCATGGAGCCTGCTTCTCCCTCTGACTGTCTCTGTCTCTGTCTCTCTCATGAATAAATAAAATCTTTAAAAAAATCTTTAAAAAAAACCTCACACACACTAGATACTCAGTGCAAGCTCATTTCTTGCCTTTCTGCTTGAGTATGATTATCCCAGAATAGTACTTGAGATATACTACATACTCTCTCAATTCCTCCCCATTAGTGTAAGTAATGCAGTAGAATAGCAATAGGCATATATTAGAAGCTCAATACATGCATATTTTCCTCTACTTATATGAGAGCCAATTTGAATTACAGAAATAGAATATATATGTATATATGGAACACACTAAATGCTTAATATATGCTATCTTCTTTACACATATGTGTGAGTGATCATGCACTAGAATATTTTTTTGATGCACTAGAATACTGATTGCCTGGCATATACCTGGTGCCCCATGCAAGCTTATTTTTTTCCATAAATATGAACAAAGTTGTATTAGAATCATGCTTCTTAAACATGAAGTTTTCTCTGTATCTGCTTTTTCTGTGTTTGAATAAGGTTGTAGTAGATCAGAGCCAGGCTTGAACTAAGGCATCAATTTTTTTTAAAGATATATTTATTTATTTATGGTAGACATAGAGAGAGAGAGAGAGGCGCAGAGATGCAGGAGGAGGGAAAAGCAGGCTCCATGTAGGGAGCCCAACATGGGACTCCATCCCGGAACTCCAGGATCGCGCCCTGGGCCAAAGGCAGATGCCCCAAACCGCTGAGCCACCCAGGGATCCCCTAAGGGATCAATTAATGGTAGTTTTTTTTTTCTCCTCATGTGTAAAGTTTTATCGAAATAGCACTTGGAATTACTGGGAATTTAGTGCGTAATTTCTTTTCTCTCCTATGTGTTAATAATGTTGTAGAAGAGTACTAAGCAATACTCTGTGCTCCAAGACTACTTGATTCCTTCCCTTAAGTGTAGGCAAGGACATAGGAAAAATCATCCAGCGTATACTAGGTATCCCATGCATGTTCCTTTTCTTATCCAGCATGAGAGTCATGCTACACTAGCATACTTAATGTGGCATACTTAATGAATACTTGCTGCCTTTACTCATGTGTGAGTAACGTTTTTACTAGAATATTATCTGGTATGTACAAGGTACTTCATGCACGTTTATCTCATTCCACTAATGCTAGAATAACATTTGACTAGAATAATTCCGGGCACACAATAGTCAGTTGATGCATATGTCCTTCCTTTTTCCCAATGTGTGTGTAATGTTGTGCTAAAATGGTGCCTGGCATATAATTTGCACATAATGTAGGCTCATAGTATTTCCCAATGTGAGAGTAATGATGTATTAGAATACTGTCCAGCATATAATAGACACTAATTGCATAAATGTTTGCCTCCCCATATGTATGAGTAATGTTGTAATTAAAAAGTACCTTGCATATGCTGCTGGCTCAATGCATGTTTTGTTCTTTCACATGATGTGCAAGTAATATTTTACCGCAATAATACCTGACACATATTAAGTGCTCAATGCCTCTTTGTTTTTCTCTTTCTGTGGGGGAATGTAGCACGAGAATTGTACCTGGCACAGACTAGTTGCTCACTTATACTTGGTTTCTGTCGCCCGTGTGTGAATAATGTCCTATTAGAGTAGTGCTGTCATATACTGGTTGCTCTACATCCTTGTTTCCTTTGCTTATGTGTGTGCAATGTTGTATATAATAAGATCTGGCATTTACTAGGTGCCTATTGCACGCTCATTTCATTCGGCTACATATGATTAAGTTCATAATTAATAGCACCTTGCACATACTAGGACTCAGTGCATGCTTACTTAATTCCAGTATGTGTGGGCCAAGCTATTCTTGAATAATTCCCGGCCTATACTAGGTAAAACTATGCAAGCTTGTTTTCTTTTCCTATCTGTGAATAATATAGTACTAGATATTCCCTGTATGATTTTATGTGATCAACTTATGTTTTATTCCTTCATTCTTGTGTGGATAATGTTAGAATAGAACCTAGCATAGACTAGGAACACACTCAATACATTTTGTTTTCCTCCTATATATGACTTATAGTAGAACAGTATCTGACTTATACAAGAGGATCAAATGTGTGATTGCATCACTCCTACTATGTGTGAGTGATACGGTACCAGAATATATTTCAGGTACTATGCTAGTACAACCTTACTGTCATATTGGGAAAGAAATAAGTATATGTAAGTAATATACTAGAATAGTAACTGTCATATATTCAGTACACTGTGTGGCTTTGTTTCCTCCCACTATGTGTGAGGTTATAATATAAAAGATTATAATATAAAAGTACTTGGTGTATAGTAGGCATGGATGTACCTTGCTCCCTGTCCCTCTGTGTGAATTTGGTAAAATGCCTGACATATACTCAGAGCATTCTTTCCTCTTCTTTGTGAGTACAGTTGTGATAAAATAGTTCCTGGCCTTTGCTAGATGCTTGCTGTATTCTTGTTTACTTCTCTTATGTTTGAGTAATGTGTTAGATTAGTATTTGCCAATATTAGGTGTTTGAGGAATGCTCCTTTCCTTTTTCTATGTGCCAGGTAGATTGTTCTAGAATAGGGCCTGACAAATATTAGGCATTCAACATACAGTTTATTCTTCCACTAATTTATGAGTGATTTTGTATGAGAATATTTTTCTGGCATGCCTTCAGCAGTTAATACATACTTAATATACGTGCTAGTATAGAACTAAGTATTTAATAGATGCAAGCTTACCTTTTCCTACGTGTAATACTTTACTAATATGTTGCCTGATTTATACCTGCAGCTCTGTAAATGTTTATTTTATTATTTTTTTTATTTTTGCCCTTTATTAGAGTATTATCTGACTAGATTAGTAGATGGCATGTATTAGGCAATTTATGTTGCTTTTTCTTTTCCCAGCATGTGAATTACATTGTACTAGTGTCCAACATATACAATATGCTCCATTTATGACAATTCTTTCCCCTATATGTGAGCAAATTTGCACCAGGATACTATATGCCTTATTAAAGGTACATATGGATGTTGCTTCTTTTACCCTATTGTGAGTAATGTTGTATCTGGTATATTTGAGGCTCTCCATGAAATACTGTTTCCTGCCCTGTATGTAGTGCTGTATTAGAATAGTGCTTGACACATTTTTGGTGCTCAATGCATTCTTGTGTTCTTTGTCCCAAGTAATAGTAAAGTGGTGCTAAATTACTGGCTGGCAATAACAAGGCACTTAATGCATGCTTGCTACTTTCCCTCTAATAGTAGGCAATGTTGTATTAGTGCTCTACTGGTTGTACCAAGTGTACCGGGCATGCTCATTTCTTTCTCCTTTGAGTAAGGCTGTATGAGAAAAGTCCCTTGCATATATTAGTGACTTGTTTCCTTCTC